TCCTGCTCCACTGGCCCCAGCTATATACCCTACCCTGCCATTCCAGTCCTACCTGTACCCTACCCTGCTCTACTGGCCCCAGCTATATACCCTACCCTGCCATTCCGGTCCTACCTGTACCCTACCCTGCTCTACTGGCCCCAGCTATACCCTACCCTGCTCTACTGGCCTCAGCTGTACCCTATCCTGCCTTATTGGCCCTTATTGGCCCTAGCTGTACCCTACCCTGCTCTACTAGCCCTAGCTAAACCCTACCTGCCCTACTAGTTCTAGCTGTATACCCTACCATGCCTTTCTAGCCCTAGCTGTACCCTACCCTGCCCTGCTCGCCTCCAGCTGCATCCTACCAGCTGTACCCTGCCCTGCTCTACTGGCCCCAGCTGTATACCCTACCCTGCCATTCCAGTCCTAGCTGTACCCTACCCTGCTCTATTGGCCCCAGCTATATACCCTACCCTGCCCTTCTGGTTCTAGCTGTATACCCTATCCTGCTCTACTGGCCCCAGCTATACCCTACCCTGCTCTACTGGCCTCAGCTGTACCCTATCCTGCCTTATTGGCCCTTATTGGCCCTAGCTGTACCCTACCCTGCCCTGCTCGCCTCCAGCTGCATCCTACCCTGCTCTACTAGCCCTAGCAGTACCCTGCCCTGCTCTACTGGCCCCAGCTGACCATGCCATTCCAGTCCTAGCTGTAACCAACCCTGCTCTACTGGCCCCAGCTATATACCCTACCCTGCCATTCCGGTCCTAGCTGTACCCTACCCTGCTCTACTAGCCCTAGCTGTACCCTACCCTGCCCTACTGGTTCTAGCTGTATACCCTATCCTGCCTTTCTAGCCCTAGCTGTACCCTACTACTGGCGATCCTAGCTGTACCCTACCCAGCCCTACTGGATTTAGCTGTATACCCGGCTCGCCTCCAGCTGCATCCTACCCTGCTCTACTATCCCTAGCAGTACCCTGCCCTGCTCTACTTGCCCCAGCTGCATCCTATACTGCTCTACTAGCCCTAGCAGTACCCTGCCCTGCTCGCCCCCAGCTGCATCCTACCCTGCTCTACTAGCCCTAGCAGTACCCTGCCCTGCTCTACTAGCCCTAGCTGCACCCTACCCTGCCCTACTGGTTCTAGCTGTATACCCTATCCTGCCTTTCTAGCCCTAGCTGTACCCTACCCTGCTCTACTAGCCCTAGCAGTACCCTGCCCTGCCCTGTTGGCCCCCAGCTGCATATTACCCTGCCCTTCTGGTTCTAGCCTTATATCCTATCCTGCTCTACTGGCCCCAGCTGTACCCTACCCTGCTCTACTGGCCTCAGCTGTACCCTATCCTGCCTTATTGGCCCTAGCTGTATTCTACCCTGCTCTACTAGCCCTAGCTGTACCCTACCCTGCCCTACTGGTTTTAGCTGTATACCCTATCCTGCCTTTCTAGCCCTAGCTGTACCCTACCCTGCCCTGCTCGCCCCCAGCTGCATCCTACCCTGCTCTACTAGCCCTAGCAGTACCCGGCCCTGCTCTACTGGCCCCAGCTATATACCCTACCCTGCCATTCCGGTCCTAGCTGTACCCTACCCTGCCCCTACCCTGCTCTACTAGCCCTAGCTGTACCCTACCCTGCCCTACTGGTACAGCTGTATACCCTATCCTGCCTTTCTAGCCCTAGCTGTACCCTACCCTGCCCTGCTCGCCTCCAGCTGCTCTACTAGCCCTAGCAGTACCCTGCCCTGCTCTACTGGCCCCAGCTGTATACCCTACCCTGCCATTTCAGTCCTAGCTGTAACCAACCCTGCTCTACTGGCCCCAGCTATATACCCTACCCTGCCATTCCGGTCCTAGCTGTACCCTACCCTGCTATACTAGCCCTAGCTGTACCCTACCCTGCCCTACTGGTTCTAGCTGTATACCCTATCCTGCCTTTCTAGCCCTAGCTGTACCCTACCCTGCCCTGCTCGCCTCCAGCTGCATCCTACCCTGCTCTACTAGCCCTAGCAGTACCCTGCCCTGCTCTACTGGCCCCAGCTGTATACCTTATCCTGCCTTTCTAGCCCTAGCTGCACCCTACCCTGCCCTGCTCGCCCCCAGCTGCATCCTACCCTGCTCTACTAGCCCTAGCAGTACCCTGCCCTGCTCGCCCCCAGCTGCATCCTACCCTGCTCTACTAGCCCTAGCTGTACCCTACCCTGCCCTACTGGTTCTAGCTGTATACCCTATCCTGCCTTTCTAGCCCTAGCTGTACCCTACCCTGCCCTGCTCGCCTCCAGCTGCATCCTACCCTGCTCTACTAGCCCTAGCTGTACCCTACCCTGCCCTACTGGTTCTAGCTGTATACCCTACCCTGCCATTCCAGTCCTAGCTGTACCCTACCCTGCTCTACTGGCCCCAGCTATATACCCTACCCTGCCATTCCGGTCCTAGCTGTACCCTACCCTGCTCTACTAGCCCTAGCTGTACCCCACCCTGCCCTTCTGGTTCTAGCTGTATACCCTACCCTGCTCTACTGGCCTCAGCTGTACCCTATTCTGCCTTATTGGCCCTAGCTGTACACTATCCTGCCTTTCTAGCCCTAGCTGTACCCTACCCTGCTCTACTAGCCCTAGCAGTACCCTGCCCTGCTCTACTGGCCCCAGCTGTATACCCTACCCTGCCGTTCCAGTCCTAGCTGTACCCTACCCTGCTTTACTGGCCCCAGCTATATACCCTACACTGCCATTCCGGTCCTAGTTGTACCCTAGCTGTATACCCTACCATGCCTTACTAGCCCCAGCTGTACCCTACCCTTCCCTGCTCGCCCTAGCTGTACCCTGCTCTGCCCCTTTTGTCCCCAGCTGCATCCTATCCTGCCCTACAGGTTCTAGCTGTATAACCTACCCTGCCATACCGGTCCTAGCTGTACCCTACCCTGCCCTACTAGCCCTAGCTGTACCCTACCCTGCTCTACTAGCCCTAGCCGTACCCTACCCTGCTCTACTAGCCCTAGCTGTACCTTACCCTGCCCTGCTCGCCCCCAGCTGCATCCTACCCTGCTCTACTAGCCCTAGCAGTACCCTGCCCTGCTCTACTGGCCCCAGCTGTATACAGTACCCTGCCATTCCAGTCCTAGCTGTACCCAACCCTGCTCTACTGGCCCCAGCTATATTATACCCTACCCTGCCATTCCGGTCCTAGCTGTACCCTACCCTGCCATTCCGGTCCTAGCTGTACCCTACCTGCCCTACTAGCCCTAGCTGTACCCTACCCTGCTCTACTAGCCCTAGGCGTACCCTACCCTTCTCTTTTAGCCCTAGCTGTACCCTACCCTGCTCTTTTAGCCCTAGCTGTACCGTACCCTGCCCTGCTTGCCCCCAGCTGCATTCTACCCTGCCCTACAGGTTCTAGCTGTATACCCTACCCTGCCATTCCGGTCCTAGTTGTACCCTACCCTGCTCTACTAGCCCTAGCTGTACCCTGCCCTGCTCTACTGGCCCCAGCTATATACCCTTACCTGCCATACCGATCCTAGCTGTACCCTACCCAGCCCTACTGGTTTTAGCTGTATACCCTACCCTGCCATTCCGGTCCTAGCTGTACCCTACCCTGCTCTACTAGCCCTAGCTGTACCCTAGCCTGCCCTTCTGGTTCTAGCTGTATACCCTATCCTGCTCTACTGGCCCCCCTGCTCTACTGGCCTCAGCTGTACCCTATCCTGCCTTATTGGCCCTAGCTGTACCCTACCCTGCTCTACTAGCCCTAGCTGTACCCTACCCTGCTCTACTAGCCCTAGCTGTACCCTACCCTGCTCTACTAGCCCTAGCTGTACCCTACCCTGCTCTACTAGCCCTAGCTGTATACCCTACCCTTCCATACAGGTCCTAGCTGTACTCTACCCTGCTCTACTAGCCCTAGCCGAACCCTACCCTGCTCTACTAGCCCTAGCTGTACCCTACCCTACTCTACTGACCCCAGCTGTATACCCTGCCCTGCCATACCGGTCCTAGCTGTACCCTACCCTGCTAGCCCTAGTGTCTAGTAGTACTGGCACTAGCTGCCCTACGCTGCCCTGCTGGCCCCAGCTGTACCCTGCTCTGCCCTACTGGCCCTAGCTGTAGTCTACCCAGCCCCAGCTGCACCCTACCCTGTCCTACTTAGCTAACTCTGATTTAATTGCCTTTGTACACCAAGCTACCCCTTTATTAGCTCCATTACCCTTCACTCTTTGCATCCACTGACTCTACCCCTTTATTAGCTTCATTACCCTACACTACCCTGGCAGTAGCCCTGCACCCTACACTGTATTGGTTCCATTCTGCCCTGTTACTTAGCCCTCTAAACAACACTGCCCTACCCCATGGATTTGTTTATTAGCCTGCACTACATCCCTTAAGCCCCTAAACCTTCACAGCCCTACCCGTATCCTTTACCCTAAGCTGCTCTTGCTCCAAAACTCTACACTGCCTGCCCTACCACCAACTGCCTTTCCCTGTACCCTATCCTGTAACCTTGGTACCCTTTGCTACCACATGGAAGCCCCTGTACCCCAAACCATAATGACTGATTATGAGGTCCACTCACAAGATCTTAGGAGTCTTGAGTATTGTAAATCCTCCATTCTGGTAGAGAAAGCCATTCTCTAAGAAGTAGTAACACAGCCGTACAATCCAGTTGTGTCCAGCAGAACTGAGAATCCCAGCAGCACCCAGAGAGCCTGGACAAACATCACAGCTAGAGTTGTACAATACACGCTGAATGGCTCAACATATAGTTAAATAACCTAATATCTATTACTGTTATTTTGGAGTTTTCAAGATTATATCCTAAAGAATTTGTTGGAATAGTAGGAACTTGGAAGTTATTTTATGGTTGAATTAACCCAACTGCAATTTTAACTTGTCTGCAGCTTGCTCTCCGACTTTTAACTTTGTGTTTGTATATGATGAACCAATCTCACAACCATGATAGGTTGATCCATAATGCATCGAGAAACTTGGTTCTTTTTAGCTCATTTATCCTCCTGTACTGTTTCAGGCTATGGATGATGACACCTCTTTTTCCTTGGCGTCCTTCGATGTTGTTCCAGCTACCGGGGAAATGTTACAGAGCTACTCACATGGAGAGGTAGTGAGAGAAATAGCGTCTGCTCTCTGGTCAGAACTCCGTGAGACACTGAAAGGGAAACTTGGACAAACATCGGAGCGATTGGTAGGATCCAATCCAACCAAGAACTGTACACTCCAAATGCCCACATTTGTCTTGCAACCGTGTGGTCACACTAATTATCAATTGTTTAAAACTGGTGTCAATAAAAAATGATATTAACAAAAACTGTTGTTCTGACTAAACCTAATGAGGTTATTTTAGGTTAATTACAGGAAATAAATTTGACAGTAAGGTAGGAAAGTGAGGCTATGTCACAGCTAACTGCTGATTGGCAGGATTCGCTGCCCGCTAACATTTAGAGGCGGTTTGGGAGCTCGAGCCCAGCTAGTACGCGCCTAGTGTTAGACGCGCCTAACTTTAGTCCCCGGACCAAAAACCAAGCTTGGGAGCTCGCGCCTAAGTTGAAATGGTCGTAGATCAAGTCTGAGTTGCAGCGCGGCTAGATGGACAGGAAATCGCGGGGAATTCAGGTTTTCACGTTGGCAACGGCCACTGCAGAACACGTTACCGTTGACAACAACAAAAGATGGATACAATTAAAGATGGATACAATTTTATCTTGGTTTATCAATGGTGGCTAATTAGTAGACTATGGTGTAAGTTTCTGCCTTGTACCATTGCAAAAATGTAGTTTTGTAAGATCGTTGTTTTACATCCCAATGACTGAAGAACCATAATTCTTTATTTTAAATTCTTTTAAGATCTAACTTTATTTTCACTTTACGGTTTATAATTATTTAATCAGTTGTCTTTAAGTACTACTATAGTTCGGCCGCTTATACAGCAACCTGCGTGCTAATGCTAACCAATGCTGGAGGAGGTCGCTATCTAAGCACAGTTGTCTTTAAGTAATACATCTTATGAATACGTACAGAGCAACATAGGATTCTGAAAATCAATATGATTTCTTTCAGAGATCAAAAACATTAGGTAATCATTTAATAAAGAATACCATGTGTGTTGAACGGTAACATCTGAAACTCAGTTTCATGCAATAAAAAGCTTCAAAATTAAACAGTAATTTCCGAGTATAATATATATATATAGGGGTATTGACGGAAATAAAAAAAAATAAAAGTATTTGAAGTAATTGCGGAGGATTTGATTGTGTGAAGCCAAGGTAAATGTAAAATATATCTTTTAATACTTACAAAAAAAAATTTTTTTCAATTAAAAAAATATTAAACATGACACTTTTTTATCTAATTTTACTAGGGAAGTATCTATTACCATAGGTAGCACTTAGTTCCGGGACCTATATACTTTCCCATTTTGAAATAAAATAAATTTAATTGAAAGTCCTATTAGGTTATTGTAAATTCGCTTAGTCTGCAGGTTTTCTGTGGCGGGTTATTGATATACTGTATATATTTTCTTATACTCCAAATAATCTAGGTACTCCATTTTTATGTAAATAGCACTTGGTCAATGACATTGAACTGAGCTCAATCACAACGCAATTAAAAGAAAACGATTATTACTGTGAGCTATTTGCAGTTTTTTTTTATGTTTTGTTTACTATCTCTTCACTCTTTCGTAGGGGGTGAGTGGGGGGTATGTATGCGGTTGCTAATTTTTTTCTAGCTAATAAAATATTTATAATTAAGGTATGGGTGCTTATAACCAAACTCTCAGTTGAAAGAAATTCTATTTAGGGTCCATATTTTTATTGCAGTTAACAGTAAAAACAAAAACCAAATAATATTTCGTTAAATTTAGCTTCCTGCAAGATTTTTGTTTTATTTTGAACAGAAACCTAAAAAAAACTGTTATCAAATATACTTTGAGAGTAATGAAATTGTTTGGAATTCCATAACGAATTCCAATATAACATTTTTTTAGTTAATATGTAAACAATTAACTAGCTAATGAGGTAATACCGGCATGATGTCGACTTAGACCTGCCCCCTGGTAGGACTAAAGTTGGGGACTAAACTCAAATCAAATCAAATAGTTCTAACTAAAAATTAGTCACTCACTAATTTTTATGACGGAAATATATCCCTTAGTCCCGAAATTGGTCTCCCAAACCCACCGAGACTATCTCTTAGGCTGGCGTCTATCTACTTGACTCCCAAACCAACAATTTTTAGGCGCGAGATTATCCCTGCACAAGTTAGGCGCGCGCCTACCTGATCCCGAGCTCACAAACCCGTTTTCGAGGCGGCAGCTTAAAATACCGGAAATATCCGGTTTTAGTCGCGGACTAGCGCTAATACCGAGCTCCCAAACCGCCTCTTAGGGTGCAGGGCTAAAAACATACTGGTCTATGGAATACTATGTATACTGATACACCCCCATATAGACTGGCAAAAAACCAAATTGCAACTTGGTACATAAAGTAATTTTTTAAATTTCAAAGTTTCCAATTTCCAAAAAACAGTAAAATCTAACCCATGATTCATGTAACTACCCTACCCACTTCTCAGAATTATACTGAAAAGATGAAAGAGGTGTCATTTTGCAGCATTTCTATGCTACCTGTATCCTGTATCCTACTCTATCCTGTAGCCCCTGTACCCTACACTGATCTACCCACACTGTCCTACCTATAGCCCCTGTTAACTGAAGAACTGTATGAGTAAGTAAAAAAGACTTACATTAAGGGCCGGTACATACACACCGACTTGGACGCATGTGAGTACGACTGTTCGTGTCGTGCTGGCATACGACAAAGTCGTGTTACCTCACGACAGTTGTCGTATCGGTATACGACTCAGCAAACACAACAGCGAATTCTACTGGCTTTAGGACTACTAACCCAGGCATACAGGCATACAACTATGTATAAACAGAATGAATGTGTATGGAAAGTTTAGTCGTTGCTACGTAAAAAAGTTGTTTTGAAACACTTTGCAAAAATAAACAATAATTTAAGTAATGCTATTTATGTACATTTCATTATACATCCTTAATTCGTATAATTATATGTGTTATCAGTTAAGGTAATGTTAATTTTGGTAAATTTTTGTTGCCCTTTACAATAAGTTACCGTTACAATAGTTATTTTTGTAAATGTACATACAGAAAACTCTCTCTTGTTCGGCCACCTCGGGACCGGACTACCGGCCGGACTACAAAATGGCGGGACTATCCGGCTTTAATGTCAAAATTTATAATGCCCTATTTAATGCATCACCTATGGTAAAAAATCAACAAAGACGTTGTTTAATGTTGAGCTATTTGAAAAATTACAATCATTCACCTATTTTGAAGTAGCCTACATAAATTTATTAATACTTGACTTAACCTCTCACAACCGTTAATTGCCATGATAACATCTTGGAAAACGTCTAAAATCACAAAAAAGTTGGTTTTTGAACGTTTGTTATTTAATAATTAAGTGTCACAGACCAGTTTTAAATAGCTAAAAACCCAGCGTGGCACCCCGCAGTCGTGTCCCGAGACGCACTAGTGTGTATACACCGACGCGACAGCCGTATAACGCCATGTCCCGCTACGACTCAAAACAGTCGTGAGCCCGTACGACACGATTTGCCTGTCGGACCCCCAGTCGGTGTAGGGCGCGACTCGAAATTTGTCGTCCACGACTTTGACACCTCCACGACTGCTGTCGCACTAGTGTGTACACCCCCATGCGACTTCCATTGCCTACTTTGTTTCTCTACTTATCGTGCAGATATACAATTTCTTGAGTCGTACAGGGGCACGACAAAAGTCGGTGTGTGTGTACCGGCCCTAAGTCCAAAAATGGTCTTAAGGTTGGCGCACACAGAGACAGACGGACTCACGCAGACAGACGCTCCCCATGTTGTATGTGGCAACGCACACAGGAATCCGTCCATCTGCCGGAGTCCGCTGGAGTTTGTGGACGGATTTTTTTGAATCGCCTCTCAAAAGTACCCCTGCAGACTTTTTCTGCTGCACATGCGCAAAAAGGGTTTTTCTTCCCGGACACTTCTTCTTCACACTGCCACTACGTGCGCTGTAGTTTGTTTACTAAGGGAGTCCAACCCACCTGGAGACTGGGAATTTTTCGTAATATTTGATAAGTGGGGGGAAATTTGTGAATTTTGTAAAGAACCGAGAAATTTAAATGTTTCAATAATAGCCGCATAAACCGCCCAATATCAACGATTTCCTTGCTTTGCGTAGTTGAAATCGCTTTCGCAGGGTAAACTATTACGTTGCTGCGATCGCAAGTAATGATCACGGCCGTTTCCGTCATCACGGTAAATCATCACGAATTTCTTCACCTTTGCAAGATAATTTCAAATTTTGCGCCGATTTCACGATACATGTCCGACACCATAAGTAATTACCACGGATTTTGCCGCGATCACGGAAAACCATTACTAATGTTGCCGTGATCACAGAAAATTATATAAAATTCTACTGCTTGAAAGTTATGCCCACAGAAAGTTAAAAATCGTCACAGAATTCGCAGAAGGGTATGTAATAATACTAGCAGGTTTAAATAAGTAGGCCTAAGCTTTAAACTTTTGAGCTATAAGTTTTGTCCTGGAAAACGTCCAATGAGTTTTATTTCGATGGCTAGATACCCTATAATTACATCACCTACTTGTGAGGGACTGACATCCCGATCTGTTTCTTTTTTTAGTTTTTACAAGGTGAAGGACGGAAAGGATAGTTTGTCTGCTTGCGGACTCCTGCAGCTGTGTGCGTTATAAAAAAATCTGTCCGTCTGCAGGAGTCCGTTCTCATGAGTCCGTCTGTCTCTGTGTGCGCCGGCCTTTAGACTGATTATCAAATACATTCATTTTAACTTTAACACACATTAATAACAAGAATAGTGCTAATAGAATAAAAGTGCTACTCACAAGATCAGAGGAGTCTTAAACATTCTACATCCTCTGTTGTGGTGGGGAAAGACATCCTCTAAGTAGTAGCAAAGCCGTACAATAATCCCCATGAGGTCCATCCAGATGTCCAGCAGAACTGAGAATCCCACCAGCACCCAGGGTAGGTACAGAGCCTGGACATACATACAGATGGAGTTGCACAATAATATGAACACAATAACACAAATTAACACAATAATTAATGGCTCTACTTATCAGGCCTATGTTTAAATAACCTAATATCTACTGAAATGTTG